GTGGGAGCTTTGGGGAGCCAGGTGGTGGGTTTTATGGAGGGCATATATTGCATGGAGCACTGGGTGGTGCATAAACAATGAATTCTGTTACACTGAAAATAAATTAAATTAAAAAAGAATATAATAATAAATAAATAAATGAATAAATAAATAATATTTTAAAAATACAAAAAATTATATCTATACAATATAGGCATATACCATATATATAATATAATATAATATAATATAATATAATATAATATAATATAAGCATATGCCCATATATATAATATAGGCAATACTCTTGCCTCCCCAAAAGAAAGAGCCAATATGTGCTCAATCTCTTGATGTCAATCTAAATGAAACATGTCAACATTCAGACCGATTCAGTAGTTTCTGCCTGGCATTGCGGCAGGGGCTATGAGAGGGAAAGATGTTGAGAGCCACCTTCAAGAAACTAAAACGTAGTTTGAAGAAACCAAGCTGCTTGCTCTCGACTGTGGACCCACACATGCAACCTCAGGTTATCCCAAGAAAACGCCTCTTTCCTGGACCTCAAACATCTCATCATGCTTTGGGACCTGCCAAGCAAGGGGGCTCAGGTGCCACTCAGCCTCTAGCTACTGCTTGGCAATTTTCTTTGGAAAAATTATTGGTAACCACTACTAAATATTGACAATCTCAGTAATTTTTTTAAAAGATTTTTTATTTGTTAATTTGACAGACAGAGATCACAAGTAGGCAGAGAGGAAGGCAGAGAGAGAGAGGGGAAAACAGGCTCCCTGCCAAGCAGAGAGCCCAATGTGGGGCTCGATCCCAGGACCCTGGGACCATGACCCGAGCTGAAGGCAGAGGCTTTAACTCACTGAGCCACCCAGGCACCACGGCAATCTCAGTAATTTTATAATCATTTATTCCATGCTGCTTTTCAGGCATTGCTGGTAGTATATATAGAGGAATGAGCCATCGGCCACTCTTAAGAGGTCAGTTACCCTAACAGGGTAACAGGCATGCAGTGATTGAGGTCCTGTGCCCTATGGCAGAAGGGAGATGGGCAATAGATTTTCTTCATTTTGGTGTCCCCAGCAGTGAGCTATGTCAGTGTATATTAACACTCAATAAATATATACTGAATGGAAAAATGAGTGCAGTGGTTTGCCACTGAAGAAAGAACATAACTTTGCTAGGGGGCATCGATCACACCTATTTTCCCATGTTGCTATCCTTCATTACATCATATATATCATATCATTAGTGTTTTTGCTAATTCTTTCTTCCTTTTCTTCCAATAGTTAAAGTTCTACTCATCCTCCAGGCCCACTCCAGAGTGCAGACTGAGACTGACTTATCTCTGTAACCCCACCATGAATGGATGAATGGAATGATTAGCAAATAGAGGAATGATGGGAGAAGTCATCATGGGAGTGCTCATAACTGTCCCAACAAACTGTGTTCTCCCTTCTTCGGGATGTTTGTATAGTAGATACTTATGTGGCAATCTTTACTGCTTGTCCGCTGAGCTAAATCCTACTCACACATCAACTGAGGCATCATTTCTTTTAGGTAGGCTCCCATTAGACTGCATCTAAGGTTTGACCCATGCATTATTGCCAGAGGCATCTGTGTAACCATCCCTTTCCATACCCGGTAAACTCTGGAAGACCAGGAACCAACTGCTAGTCACTGTTAAGTTCCCAGTGTCCAGCAAAGTTCATGGCACATAAGAGGTCCTCAAATAAATTAATTTATGATTAAATAAAATTAGTCATGTAAGTATTTCCTTTGTATCCTAACATGAGATAAAGCCAGCTCTTGAAAAAGCCCACAAAACTTGAATGTTTCTGTGAAATAAGACCTCTTGATTCTGTATTTTATAAATACAGGCAAAATATGCAGTTTAGTCTCCTCTGGGAAAATTTCTCAAGGAAAAAGGATCTGCTATCCCTTAGGCCCTTACAGTGTCTCCTTTGCATGGTACAGAATTTCTAAAAGTTATGGTATTATAATTAGCTCTTATAAGAGGTAAATGGGGGTGGATTTGTTAATGACATATGATATTTGAACAGATATGGAGCCCAATGTTGAGCTCTGGCTGCTGGAAACCAAAGGCAAACCACCATCCTAATTTCCCTCCAAATGAGTAACTTTCATCTGGGGTTTCAAGTAAGACAAGCCAATCTCTAATGTGTTCTCATAGGAATCCTCCGAGGATTGAGCTCTGTTGGATGACTCATAGAAATCATTCTGCACAGTCATGCTGATAGAAACTCTTCATTGAGCTACAAGAGCACTACACACAGTATTTCTCATTAAGGTGACTCTTCAGGAAGGGTGTTATTATTCCCATGCTATGGATGGAGAAACTAAAGCCCAGAACTTGCTTGAGCTCACTAAGACAGTAACTAATTTACCAAAGATGTCAAATCCTGAGCAGTCCATTGGAAAGCTTTCTCTGCCTATCTACCACTGAGGAAGTTCTCAGAGACAACGGAGACCTGAAGCAGAGATCACATGTCAATGGAGAGGAACTTAAGCTTTGAATGATACAGAGCCAACTATCTTACCTACTGCCTCTGGGGGCAGGTTTTGGTCAATATACCAGAAATACATTATTATAATGGTGAGCACAGGGTTATAACAACCTATAGCTTATTTTGCTGAATATTTAGAAAAAAGAATATTCCACCCAAAGACAGTCTTTTCTTTTAATGAGATTGACTTATAAACTTTTTAAAATATTTTATTATTGAGAGAGGGAGAGAGAGAGGATGGGAGGAGCAGAGGGAGAGGGAGAGAGAAACCCAAGTGGACTCTGTGCTGAGCATGGAGCCCAATGCTGGGCTTGATCTCACTACCCGGAGCTCATGACCTGAGCTGACGTCGAAGAGTTAGTCACTCAACCAACTGGGCCACTGAGGCACACCCTGAGTTTTAATTTTGTATTGATTTATGCACATTATCTCACTTGAGGGAAACACAAAACTGTAAAGAAAGATCTTGCCCCACGTATGGATGAAGAACCAGAGCAGAAAGCTCACTGGCTTCGGTGACCCAACCAGGAGGTAAGATGGGTGTGCATGAACTCTAGCCACTGTTCCCTACATTCCAGCTGCCACTTGTTCTCCCCTCCGTATGGTATTCTTTCCTTACTCCTTCCATCAACTTAAAAAAAATTAAGCTTATAAAGGCCAGAGGAAGGTCCCTCTATCATGTGGAATGACTACATCACAGTGACTCTAAGACATTCAACTTGAAGGACGGGATGAAGAAAAGTCTTATGGGTATGATACAGCAATCATTTTCAGGACTCCAGTGTTTCATAAACACTAAATAAAAGCCTAAGCTTCCCAGGCATCTCACCCACAACTGTCATTCTCTTTGCATTAGGGCATCAAGAATGGTCAAATAAATTATTAATGCAGCAGTATTCTCTGAATTGGCACATGTCCCATGGAAAGAATGACGTGCCCGTCTGGCAACTGTTCTCTTTTGCAGAGGAACACAACATTTCGTCCTGGGAGATACTCATGTTGATTGCACCAGGTGATTTCAAGTTATTTTCCTAAATGATTTTACAGGGATATTCAGGACAACTATAATAAATCTATTATAGTGTAGCATAATTGTTGTGGACATTAATTTTGAAATTTCCTAGCTCTGATTCCTGTGAAGTCCATGTAGGATCTGGAAATTCAATAGTTTCCTCTGTGCCCCTGGCAATGACATATGGCAGTGGGACTTGAGTTTCAGCCAATTACACCTACCTCCCTGTCTCATTCATGATTACACAGATCTTGCTTCACTCAGTTCAAAGATCCATGTTTTACTGATGATTTGATCAAATTAAAATTAAGACAATGTGGTACTTTTTGGTAAATTCTCAAACTGTTATTGCATAAAGCTTAATACAACAAGTGATTATCCAGGGGTACCTGAGTGGCTCAGTTGTTAGGCATCTGCCTTCAGCTCAGGTCATGATCCCACGGTCCTAGGATCGAGTCCCGCATTGGGCTTGCTGCTTACCAGGAAGCCTGCTTCTCCCTCTCCCACCCCGCCTTGCTTGTGTTCCCTCTCCTGCTGTCTCTTTCTCTGTCAAATAAATAAATAAAATCTTTAAAAATAAGTGGGTATCCATAGATGTAACATTTTTAAGAGAGCCTTGAATGATAGAACTAATATATCTGTTGAACATAGAATTCCCAAGAGCATATACATTTAGGAGACTATATATTGATGCCATAACCAATTTTCCATATATTCCTACTATTCCTTTTTGGAAAGTGCCTTCAGAGACAAAGATAAGCATGAATTTTTGAATATCATATGAATAATTTTCATGGGGCAAATCTTTATTTATTTATTTATTTATTTTTGAAAGCTGATTTCATTTTGGGGAAACATATAATTTGGGACCAAGTCTATTTTTAAAATTCTTACAACATCTTATGTTATAACATCTTATGTCCAAGAAACTTCATTTCAGTCTCTTCAGACTGAAAACCCATGACCTTTGATCCAACCCAAATTGTTGTCCCTACTGCATCCCCTGTCCTAGGATTGGTATCATGTTCCACAAATTTTTTTATGTTCTATAACTTCTTCTGAAAGTCAGGATGATGTACTAGGAACTACACATGTACAGGATTCTTCCGTAAGCTTACTATAATTTGGTATGTAATGATAATATTTATTTCAAGTAACTGTTCCCAGTTTCAAAAAAGGAGGGTCAAAAATGAGACTGTTAATGGCTTTTAGGAACCATGGCCTTGTTCAGAAACATAGATGTCAGTCCAAGTGTCAGAAAAGCACTTGATGACAAATCATTTTATTTCTTGTAAACAACATTTAATTGAATGTGGCAAACAAGACTAACCTGCTTTGAGCTATAAGTTTAACATAGCTATTTTAGACTCTGGAATCCATGACACAAACTTGAAGAAAACACTTGAAATCAGGATGTGTTTGGGGAGGAGAAAAGCTCCATGTAACTCAGACACTAGGCCTTTCCAAATTGGTACCTGTCTTTGGTTTTCCGTCTCCAGGCGTAGCCTGGCCTCCACACACCTCCGTGTCTCCAGGAAAGCTTGGCGCTGGGCCCGGTCTGACAGGTAACTGATGAAGATTCCAGCTGTGTTCATACACATGAATAACACTGCCTGGGCCACAACCTAAAACACATTTGCAAACATAGGCTTGTCAGGTGATTAAAGCAACAGCTGTTTGGAGATGAAGAGAAACATAAAGAAAGATTTCCAAAGTAAATCTTAAGGTAGTAATCCAAACATTTGGTATTAGGTTAAAAGAACCATTTGGGTCTTGGGTGAAATGTCATCCCCTCAGAGAGGCCTCCCTTGACCTTCCCATCCAATTTAAAGCTTCTCCTACTGCAAGTGTGGATTTGAACTTGAATTAGAAACTTGAGGTTAGATAGGAGCAATCTCTCTTTCTCACTCTGCCTCACTTCTCCCCCTTCACTAGCTGAAGTTTTTAGCCTTCTAGATGGTTGGAGAAGCAGGTCAGAAGAAGGGAAAGGGACTCATAAGAAATAGCTAATAGTACTACTATTATATCTAGTAGCCCTTAAAGCTTTTTTTCCAATGATATAAAGGTAAACATGCTAGCAATGAACACAAAGAAAATCTTAGAGAAATAGAAACCATGCACACAATATGGAAATTCTAGAAGTGGAAAACACAGCACTGAAAATTAAAACAGTCACTGGAGGATAGCTATAACATAATGTAGATGACAGAAGAAAAAATCCAATAAACTTAAATCAATAAACCAAGAATAACCTTGAAAGCAGCCAGAGAAAATGTTACAGACAGAAGACATGTTCTCCAGTTATGATAATGATTTTCAGGGTAAATAAAAAAGAAAGACATTTCTAAAACACATTGAAATGAGGGGCATCTGGATGGTTCAGTAGTTTGAGCATCTGACTCTTGATTTCAGCTCAGGTCATGATCTCGGGGTTGTGAGACTGAGTACCACATCAGACTCACACTCAGTGTGGAGTCTGCTTGAGATTCTCTCTTTCCCTCTCCCTTTGCCCCTCATCCTGCTCATACTTTCTAAATAATTAATAAGCTTAAAAATAATAAAATACACAAAAGAAAAGTTCGCAAGTCAAAACAAAATAAAGCTGGTTTTGGTGTATAAATTCTATAAGAAAGGGAATTGAAGGGAAAAAATTACTGGTGAAAAATAAGGTCATTATATAATGATAAGAGCTTTAATTCACCAGAAATATCTAAAAATTATGAACTTGAGCACATTTAGCAACATAGCTCAGAATACACAGTGCAAAGTGTGACATAAGTCTGTGGCATTATTTACGAATCTATCATCACAGAGATCTATTTTTTACACAATGTTCAGCAGTTAATAGATCAAACAGATTTTAAAAATCAGCAAAGGCAGAGATAATTTCAATAGCTCATACAACTAACAAACTTGAAATGGAACACAGTAGCCAGCAACTAGATGGTACAAATTCTTTTAAGGCACATATTAAATATTTATAAATAGGATTTTATGATAAAACCTGAAGGTAGCCTCAGCAAATTTCAAAGAACTAGTGTCATATAACTATAGTCAATTACTACAGTAGAAACAATTCACAAAGAAATTTAAAAAGATAACTAAGACAACATCATATGTTTGGAAATTAAAAATATTTCTAAATAACTCATAGATCTAAGAATATATTAAAATGGAAAATATGAATAGTTAAAGAATTATATGAAAATACTACTGAACAAACTTTATTAGTCCTCACAGAGGAATGTATAGTAATAAATGATTTATTTTTTTTAAAAGGCTGAAAATAAAAATGCTAGCCATTCAACTTAAGGATTTAGCAAAAAACAAAAGGCAGAATAGATCCAAAGTATGAAAAAGGAAAAAAATAATAAACAGGAGCAAAGTAAATTAAAAACAAATACACAAGAAAGACAAATATATCAATAAAGTCAAAGGTTTGTTTTCTGAAAAGACTAAAAAAGGATAACAATTCTTATAAGCTTAGTTTAAAAGAAAGAGAGAGAGAGAGAGAGAGAGAGAGAGAGAAGGTCCAAATAGGCAAGATTAAGAATAGGAAATGGGACAAAGATATTGCAGAAATTAATAGGTAATAAGAATATGTTATGAAGTTTAATGCTACAAAAATCTGAGATGGAATTGATGTACTTCTCAAAACACATCTTTACCAGAAGTGACTCAAAGAAAAGGAGAAAAAGTCAATAAATAGAACCATAATTAAAAATCTTTTCACAAGGAAAGCAATGGGCCCAGATGCACTCATTGGAGCACTTTATAAATAATTGTGGAAGAAAGAATTTAAATATTTCATGTCTCTTCCAGAGAACAGAAAATTGCAAACTCAGTTTATAAGGCTGACATAACCTTGATACCAAAACCAATTGGTGGGTAAAGGTGAGTAACTGGTAAATCTCATTCATGAGCAGGGAGAGAAATGCCCACACATGATATTAGCAAATCAAATCTATCAACTTATAGATAAAATAATTCAAATTGACAACAGGGAATTTCCCCTAGAAATCCAATAATGGTTTAACATTACCAACTCAACTAATGTAATTCACATTTATAGCTTTAAAAAAAACATATAGTCATTCCACTGACATGAAACAGCATGGATGAAATTCAGTATGTTTTCATTAAAGAAACCTCCTGAGATTAAAAGTAAACTTTTTAAATCATTATGTAGAATATATACAGAAACAAAACAAAAAATACATAAAACAAACATCCTGCTCAATGGTAAAATGTCAAGAGCATTTGCTTAAAGACCAGAATAGCAGTTACCATCAAATGTATTCAACACCATTCTTGAATGCTAGCCATCTCAATAGGACAAACACAAAAACAAAATAAAAGTGTTAAACTTTGGAAGGAAGAAATATACTTTCATTATTTGCAGATGATTATCCATGTGGAATATCCAGAAAATCTCCACAGGAAAATGACTAAAATTAATAATAATTTAGCAAAGATGCTAGATATAAAATCAAAATAAAATGTCAATTGCATTTCTGTGCACCCATAACAAACAGAAGGAAATGAATTTAGTGAAGAAAATAATGGAATTTAATTTAAAATAATCAAATAAGACCTACATAGATGGAAGGTTATATACCATGTTATGGATGGGGAAGAATTGTTATAGGAAAATTTTCAAATCTCAGTAGGTATTTTTACCCCCAGTAGAATTTAGATGATTCTAAAATTTATATGGAAGGTCAAAGGGTCCAAAGTACACAAGATATTTTTAAAGAACAAAATAGAGTTGTGGTACCAGATACAGGGACTTATTATAAGTTTTTAGCAATCAAAGCATCATGGTATTGATATAGATATCCAAAAATTGCCCAGTGGATGTCAACAGAGAACCCAGAAACACTAAGGCACAAAGTTGGGCACCACAGGTCTAAGGAGAAAAGAGGGATTTTTCAACAAAGCCTGTTAAGACAGTTTGTTACCCATTTAGAAAATAAAGTAAATTAGCAAGACAGGAAACATGTGTTGGAGAGGATGTGGAGAAAGGGGAACCCTGTTACACTGTTGGTGGGAATGCAAGTTGGTGCAGCCACTTTGGAGAACAGTGTGGAGATTCCTCAAGAAATTAAAAATAGAGCTTCCCCATGACCCTGCCATTGCACTACTGGGTATTTACCCCAAAGATACAGATGGAGTGAAAAGAAGGGCCATCTGTACCCCAATATTTATAGCAGCAATGGCCACAGTCGCCAAACTGTGGAAAGAACCAAGATGCCCTTCAACGGACGAATGGATAAGGAAGATGTGGTCCATATACACTATGGAGTATTATGCCTCCATCAGAAAGGATGAATACCCAATTTTTGTATCAACATGGACAGGACTGGAAGAGATTATGCTGGGTGAAATAAGTCAAGCAGAGAGTCAATTATCATATGGTTCCACTTATTTATGGAGCATAACAAATAGCATGGAGGACAAGGGGAGTTAGAGAGGAGAAGGGAGTTGAGGGAATTTGGAAGGGGAGGTGAACCATGAGAGACTGTGGACTCTGAAAAACAATCTGAGAGTTTTGAAGGGGCAGGGGTGGGAGGTTGGGGGAACCAGGTGGTGAGTATTAGAGAGGGCACAGAGTGCATGGAGCACAGGGTGTGGTGCGAAAACAATGAATACTGTTAAGCTGAAAAGAAATAAAAAATTAAAAAAAATACATGAGTTAGAATACTAAAAACACTTTTACAAAAGGGATTTAGGAGTGGAGAGCATGGGGGCTTGCCCAGCCAAAAGGTAATACAAATCATCATGCTTTGGTAAGTAAAATTGTGACAGTAGAGAAAATCACAACTGAAAAATTAATAGAATAAAATGGAATACTCCACCCAGAAATAGACAAAAGAGAGGATGAGTTTTTATTATGATACATATAGCTCAACAATTCAGTGGGAAAAATAGTTGTCAGTAAAGGGATTGGTTGACTCTTGGTCAACTACTAGAGAGAAAATATGGCTGGTCGCCTCATGCTATGTATGCATACAGATGCCATTGGGTTAGAGTTACACGTGGAAAATGAGCCACTAAGCTCAAAAGCATGACCCAAATCTCAAATTAAAGATAACTAAATTTTTAAACTAAAATAACCTGATTATCAATGAAGTAGAAAGCAAATTGGCAACATTTTGCAAAGTTTGACTCATTTTTTTTTGACCCTCTGACCCAACTTTTGGTTGTCTATTTTAAGGAAATAATCTGGTCTAGGACCAAAAACTTCTGTTAAGGGATTTTCACTGCAACTTTCTTATGGGGAGAGAAAGAAAATTGCATATTTTTATCAGTAGGAAAATGGCTGAATGCATTGGAGGTATGCATCCACAAAAGAACATAAAATCACACGAAAATATTAAATGGCATGAGCCAATCTGTAGGATACTTTAAGTAAAGTGTACTTTACTTTAAAAAGTAAAGTTTTACTTAAAAAAGTGTACTTTACTTTAATCCAAAAGTTTTAAGATTAAATTTAAATTAAGTTTAATCTTAAAAGTTTTTAATTTAAAGCTGTATTAAAGCACAAACCTATAAATCCAATGTAATCCTCATGCTTAAAATAAAAGGAAATATATATGTGTACACATGTATAAAAGGAAATGCA